TTTAACCGATACCTGGTTAGAGCCAACCTTTATTTGTTGATTTAATCTATCTGGAAGTTTATTATAATAAATTTCATCAGTTTCAAGTCTAGGAACAGATACATCAAGGGCGAAACAAGAGTCCTATATTCCACTGCTAGCTATAATCTCTGCTTATAATGTTCAAAACAATCGCCTGAGAAATGCGTCTCTAAACGGAACTTGACTATTTCGAACCCTTCGTTCACAAACTACCCAATGTTCCTGAGTAGTGTAGAATTCGACATGTAATTTACGGAATATGAGAATACTATTGTGAACTAATCCTGTCATACTAAGTACTTATTAGCTGCCTAGATGTATTGTGTAATCAGATTTCAAGTAGAATTCAACACAATTAGTAAGAATAAAGCTGGTTATTAGTCTACGCGCACAAGTATTGAAATGGTGTGGCGAAAGTTGTACGCATTCCAAAAAACAAAAAAACATAATGTATGGCGACTTGACACCATGTTTAAATAATTATTAACAGTGGATCAAAGTTTCAACGAGATTATGAAGCTTTGAACGACCTGTCGCACATACATATAGATGAATAAGAAAGCCGATTAGTAAAAAATAGAATGTGATAAATGAATTTCAGCAGGTTAAGGAAAAGCGATATTCCGGCTTCATTTTTAAAAGTAAGATTTTGGTTGGAATCATTACTACTGCATCAATGTTAAATAAATGTTGACCTTCTGAAACACTTCAACCAATCGAAAAAGCAGAAAATTAGATTATAAAAACTACTGTCTAGTATTTTTATAGTAAACAGTCTTCTGCACTACTATAGAATGAATTTCTTGATCGTGAATGGCTCATTCCAAGAATATAGAAACAGCACAAAACTACATAGGGAACAAGTGATCATATATCATTTGATGTTTATGGTACTTTGTTTTCCTTAACGTAGCCTGGCACGACAACCCTTCCTACTCTTCGCCCGTGGTTTGCCTTAGAAAACTATAAACTGCTGGGTAGAATTGATCGGCAACACATAGTATGGCTAGGAACAAGTGTACCACGAGTAACTGGACTGTAGAGTTGACCCAATGACAATATAAAAAAAATGCTCTGCTAAGGTCGAGAATCAGCTCTCTTCCAAATACTCACACATAGCCACGTGCGTACAACTGCCAGGGAACTCCTACACACTAACTTCTCGTGGCATTACTGTTGTTTACGAAATTGAAAGGACAAAAAGCGAATGTTCGGTGCTTGTGGGATATCGATGACTCACTTACAGAGTTGGAAAACCCTGATTTCAAAACAATGGTGCACATGGGCTCCAGTTACTCGAGTGTACAAATGGTGTACGAACCAATTATTGGTGACCGGCTACCATGTGACATCTCCTGACGTCCCTCCACTGCCTTGTGGCTCAGACCTTTGTGTCGAAGGCTCCAGGTGTGGTCCCCTAAGAAAAACATCTGCTTCGGTTCGAGCACCCGGTTAGTATCCGAAGACTCACACAAACCGAATGATTTATATGGCACATACGTACTTGATGTCTTGTACTAATGTTTACGTTTAAATAAATAATTAATTAATTGTAACACGAATGGCATGTGTGATGCCAACAAAATGGCTTATGCACAAAAGTGGCTAGTGAAGATGAACAAACCTGCCAGTAGCTGTTGGTATCCATTTCGTCAGATACAGCGGTAACAGACTGCTGACCACTCCCACTACCATACTGAACTTCGTGTGAGTGAAGTCGCACATTGAAGTCAGTGTTCACTAGTTTGAGCACTGAGCCGCAAGTTACAGTGTTATGCTGTGAAGTGGATTCTGAACATTTTATTACGTGTGGGAGAATAGGGATTACCTTTTGTGAATACAATAAACAAGACAAGCACGAAGACTGGGAACATGACCTAGGAAGATTTTAAAGTAGCCTCTTTGTCGTGGATTGTTTAAAACAACACCTAAAGATTTGCAACTAAATTTAATCTTATAGAATAAGAGAAGCCAATTATTTTTCACTACAGTAAATATTTAATGTCTTCGTGACAAGCTAGTATAAGCCACATCAGTTTTTGGCGTTTGCTCCTCAGATGCTGATGGTATCGTTGATTCCGTTCTTATTGACTATATAGTACTTGGGTTCGCGTTGAACAACTTTGGCAGACCATTCGTATGTTGATTCGACAGGTTGTCGATGTGAGTCTCGACGAACAAAGACGTGTGTACTATACCGTAAGTCAGGTTGAACGAAAACATCAGTTGATTGCGGTCGAGTGGAAACAGGTTTAACTGTACTCATTGCGTTTGTAAACCTGTTCGTGTAGGAGGTTAGATCCATGTTCATTGAAGAGGATGAATGATCCACGAAATCTGAAAGTCGAAGTGCAGTTCCATAAACGAGTTGAGCCGCAGTGTATCCAATGTCTGCTTTCATTGCATTGCGAATACCTACTAAGGCGAGTGGGAGAGCGTCAGTCCACTGAGAAATGTTTGAGGCTGATAGTAACGCTTTTAGTTGTCGATGGAAACGTTCTATTAACCCGTTTGCTTGTGGGTGATAGGCCGTCTTTCGGAAGCGAGTGATTCCCAATGGTGCGGTCAGAAAACAAAAAAGTTCAGATTCGAACTCGCATCCAAGATCTGTAGTGATTGTTGTTAAGCAGCCGACGTTTGCTACCCATCGTTCGATGAAGGCATGGGCCACTGCTTCAGCAGTGACGTCGTTGATAGATACTGCTTCTGGTCATCGAGTGAAACGGTCAACGCAGGTTAAGAGATAAGAGTATCCATTTGAATGTGGTAACGGTCTTACCAGATCCAAATGAACATGGTCGAAATGAGCGGCAAGAGTTTTGAGAGAGCCTAACGGACATTCATTGTGTCTAATAACATTAGATGGATTACACAGGAGCGTGCCCACTCCTTTATGTCCTTATTCATACCAGGCCAACAAAACCGTTCTGCTATAAGCTTGATGGTTGCACGAACACCTGGATGAGAAAGTTTGTGCAACGTATTGAACACGTTGCGTCGATATTGTTTCGGATGTGTCACAAAGTAAGGTTTACTTACCTGTTCCCATCTGTTTGATGGAAAAAGAAAGTTGTACCTTTCAAGGGAGCTGTCAAATTGTGAATGTGAAGCAGCGGGTAACGATCGGGAATGGTTTACGCAATCAATCGCCGATAATCACAAGTTGGACGCCAATCGTTGCTGTCCTTTTTAGGGACCATGTGCAACGGGGATGCCCATGGGCTATTTGACGGTCGTATGATTCCTAAGTCTATCATATGGTCGAATTCGTATTTCTCTAATCTTAACTTTTGCCATACGTTGCCATAGGATTTCCGTTTTCCGCCTGTAGATTTAAAACTGATTCGTGAAGCCGGTCGTTAGAATTCTCTGGAAGAACGCTAATTTCTGCGCCAGTATTGACGAGGTAGCGAACTCTCGTTGTCACATCTGTGACGTATAACAGACGGCTAAGTTCGCCGGTTACGGTTGCCGCTAACGCATTCCGGCTTGGAAGTTTCCCGAATCGTCTACGTGTCGATCGATTTTGAGTTGGGAAAATTGTAGGGTTTTCTGAAATTTCTGGAGGACTTTCCATACTGGTTAAATACCAGCACTAGTCGGGGTTATCTGACTACAATAGTCATAGTTCCATTTGATCCATGTTTCAGGGCTCTTTATCAATATGCGTGTCTGTTTTTTTTCTATGTATATGTGTTCGTTTAGACTTTTTTAGATGAGTTGTGTGGAGTGCCAGATAACAGTTTTTCCAAGTGCTTGTCAGAGTTTATCGCTGGTATTATAAGCGGTGTGGTTGTAACTTGTTCACCAAACCTTGCAAACTTTATGTGCAGAAATGATGGACTATATTTTATAGGGATCTCAGTCACCAGAAGCCGGAGAGGGGCTATGTTACTGCATTGATTCCATCACTTACGATGACATTTAATTTTCCATACCATGTTTGAACTACCATCGTCACACAACAGTAGTAATAAATCCAAATAAGAAGCGTGCTGCGGGAATTTATTACAAACTTTCTTTTTTCACCGATCATCCAAATTATTTGCAATTTGGGATATGTATGTGAATGTTGGAAGAGGTTGTTTTATGGAAAGTTATAGTTCTTGTTATACTCACTGTAATACTGAAAAGTAAACCATGTTAACTACTAATCTCAGGATTAACTACGGGTGTAATTGAGATGGATCACCTCAACACCTACGGAATTAAATTAAACTTCGAGCTTCCTTAGAGAACACTCTGGTGAAGATCCCGTTATAAAGAAAATGTTTTTCGCTCATTTTTGCAGACTCGTTCGATTTATATATTAAATGAATATTTTTTTTCTAATATGGGTTGGTAATAAAGTTTATTGATGAACATTTAATGTAAAGAGGAATACGATGCACGAGCACAATGTACATGTGACTCATTTGTACAACAGCGGTGGCAAATTTAGAGCTCCCAAAGGTAGTGAGTAGGGTTTATTTCTTAGCATTCGAAATGTATAGGTACAACATATTTCAAGAGCACCACATACTTCTAATGATAAGGGGACGCAATGAAAGAGATTCCTGCCAGATGTGTTCTTGAATAGACACAGAAACTGGCTTAAAATGATTCCAGGGGCAGGTTGATTTGATGTTCTATAAAAAGCCCTTTACGTTTCATTACAAACAAATCAGATAAATTGCCTCGATCTCTGGCATGTTGTAATCCTGAAACGCCTAATACCATGATGAAATTCAGTGGATTTTCATTTAAAAAACCTTTAGATAGTGATTTTGGTATTTCTGTCAGAGAAAGCCAATGATTCTGGTTATCATGTTTCTCACCATAGGGTTGTGCAAATTTTGGGGTTTTAATTGAGACCATGGACCGATCAATGCTAGATTATTATTGAAAACCTGGAAGCATTGGACTTCCCCTTCGTTTTATTATGAGAATCATCAGCACAGCACACACACAATTCCGCACGTTTTTGAGACTAATGTTCAGCGATTATCATTCAGACTAAGTTATTGTTTTTGCTGAGTTGTTATATTTATAATTTTAAAGTCTTTTGTTTTGAGTTATTTTGACTGACAAGGGTACATTTGGACATTGATCTTTTGACCGCTGTCACCCGCGTATTTCGAGATCCTGCACGCAATATCTTTTTCCAGTGAGTCAAGATGCAGATTTTCGTGAAGACACTTACGGGAAAAACAATAACCCTTGAAGTTGAGCCTGCTGATACAATAGAAGCAGTTAAGGCGAAAATTCAAGATAAAGAAGGCATTCCGCCAGACCAACAACGTCTAATTTTTGCTGGCAAACAACTGGAAGATGGACGAACTCTTTCCGACTATAATATACAAAAGGAATCAACGCTTCATCTTGTTCTCCGTCTTCGTGGTGGTATAATAGAGCCTACCCTGAAGGCATTAGCTCAAAAATATAACTGTGAAAAGATGATCTGTCGAAAATGTTATGCACGTTTGCATCCGAAGGCCACTAATTGCCGAAAAAGGAAGTGTGGACACACAAGTAATGTAAGGCCCAAAAAGAAACTTCGTTAATCCATAATTAAAGCGAATAAATTTTCCTCGGATTCTGCTTTTTCATTTTTTAACGTCAGACTCCATATATTAGCAGTTATTGTGGATAAGTACATTCATGCTGCAATTGTTATAAGTACTAAGTATTGTTTACCCTTTTGACAGTAAGCTTGAGACTAGCAACTCTATTCAGAAGGCATGAGACGTCAACACCTAGTTCTTAAGATAGGGTGGATGACAATTTGGATCCGTTGTGGGCGTTTCATTTCTAGATAGTTAGTGTCTTAGTTGGGGTTTATTATTTTATGTCTTTGTGGAGAATTGCTTTAAGATTATGTCGTTACCATTTACCTATAGTGTCCTCAGAAATTACATTGCACACAACTTTCAGGAACACTTTATTCCGGCGTGTGTCGCAAGTTACCGTTTGAGTTATTTTTTGGCTTTAATGAATAGTAATATTTGCGAATGTTGTGTTCTCAGTTTAACTTTTTTAATCCTTTTCTTTAGTGCTATTAATTGAATTACCATAAGGGTATAGCACATTTTAGTCTGTTACTCAACTACTAACTGTGTATTGTTGACCCTAGTGTAGTACAATCTTGGAGGTCGGTATTTCCCGTTTTTGTGAAAATGTGGTTTCTAATCTAATTAGGTCGTTTTGCTGTGATAATGGATTTCTGTCTGAACCTAAGGCTGGGGCACGATACTTTTTTTTATCTTTCGTTCAGTGGTTTAGTAAGCCTAGTATTATAGATCACAGCCTGTTTGACAAGGTTTTCGACTGTCAACATCTCAAGTAGGTTGAGTTGTTTAGTTTAAAGATGACGCCCGAAATTCTCGAATCGGTTAAGTACATATTTGATGGACTGGAGGTCGCTTTCAAATTCTAATTATTCATCAACTACCTTGGGACCCGTTATAGTTGTTTACTACTTTGCTGGCTACCGATATCACATGAATTGTCATGCTATATCAGCTACTTATCTTTTTAAGCGTAGCTCGTGTTTGTTGAAAAATGATACATATCGTCATAAAAGACCTCGAGGCTTTAGTCTCACGTCCCTTAGGGTTTAAGTATTTGCTGGTGGCATTAGACAATAAGTTTCTCGCCTGAAATTTGAATCACCTTCAAAGTCGAACAACCTTCCAAACAACAGAACTCTGAAAGAGATGAGGTATCCATAATAAAATAAAAAGACTACTGCAATCATTTAAATTTTATTCTTAGATTAGAGTTGTCAGCAACCATCCACCAGTTTTAAAAGAGTCTTGTTTGGCTTTTGCCAACTTACGTCACCTATGGCGTAGGCGAGATATCCGTCTATCAATAAAAGGACGAGTATACCGCGCGGCAGTTCGTTCTGTTTTACTTTACGGCTGCGAAACATGGCCATTAAGAGTCGAAGATACTCGTAAGCTACTAGTATTTGACCACGGATGTCTTAGAAATATTGCTGGCATCTGCTGGGATCACCAGCTAAGTAATAGTGAGATTAGATGCAGAGTATTAAGGAATGATGGTAAATCAGTTGATGAGGTTGTCAATCTCCATCGATTGACATGATTGGGTCACGTGTTGCGTATGCCTGAACACCGATTACCACGACGTGCGATGCTAACCGGTGTTGGGGGTGGTTGGAAGAAAGTTAGGGTCGGCCAAACCAAGACGTTTTATCAGTGCTTGAAGTCACTGACTTCTTGTCTGAGCCATGTTGGTAGATGCAGACTACTTGGTTGGGGTCTGCGTGACTATCGTAACCGATGGTTGGAGACGGTGTGTGACATGGCTCAAAATCGATCACAATGGCGTAGGTGTATACACTCTGTCTTCCCTGAAACTAAGAGATTAAAGTCGCTTAATATCTTTCTTTCTACGTACTAAATCTTTCTTCCTGTACTATATCCTTATATGCAATCTTTCTTCAGATATTACCACCATTGACTTAACTAATATAAATCCGGTGTTCGCCTTGCTGTGCTAATGCGGTATGGCAACTTGGACCGATACATATATGTGTCTGGTCCAACGTTGTAGCTGACTGGCTGAGTCATCATACTCATTTGGCACATCGATTGTAGTGCGTTTCATAAATTGACATAAACTTTGTTTTCGTCTCAAGCAATTATTGAATTTTATGTGGTGATACGCAACTTATCAGTATATATGGCAGTTAACTGGTATATTATATGTATAACTTAAGCTCCATCTTACCAATTCTAAGCGATCTTGCACAGGGTACTGCTGCTCTAATCTATTACATCTATTAGATTATACAACATTAGTCATTCATTTGTATGAGAGGGAAAAAGAAATATTGTCAAAGTACTGTTATAAAGATTTGACAATTAATGAAGATTGTATTGAGACAGCTCGTAATGACTTTTACTCAGGTGCAATATAAATCCTAAGTCGTATGTATGACTAAACACTTACGGTAATAGACAATACTACAAAATATATATTTCTAGGGATTAGTCATGGTTTTGGGATCAATAAGTTGTTTAGAAAGGTATAAATGTGTTTGTATTGAGGCAGAAACTGTGTAACACACCGTACACTTGTTCATTTAATTTGCTTTAAGCCACATTGTTTTTGTGAGGACTAATGATACTACCTAGCTGGACAGATGAAAGTAGGCATTGCCGTGAAGACGGAATTATCAGTAAGGTAATAAATATTTATGTGTTCTCTCCGTGTGCCCTGAACCTTAAGCATATGCTTTAGTTTTGGAGGAAGAATACCTATGATTCATAGAGCGTGGAAAGCTACATGCAGTTGAGTGTGGGGCTTTAACAGTAATTTCAATGAGTTCAGTTTTTTATGCTGAACAAACATCTCCAAAGACGACTGGATAAAGTTCACTGAAACTTTTTGAGTATCATATTTTAAGCTTAGATGTAGTTCAACTCCTGAGACTAATACGAAAAGTCTAGACAGATAGTAGCTGCATATTAGGGAAATGGAAGGTATTCATGAGCCATTAGTTTTGCCAGTCATGTCTATTGTTCAAGCTACCAACCTGCTTCGGTTTGGGCACTCGGGCAGTATCACATCCCTCACACATATCAAATGAGATCTGTGTATGTATTTGGTACCTCCTTGTACCAATATCTATGTTTTCGGACAACGATGTTAACCTTAATAGTAGTCATTATATGATATTTATCACCGTTTGATACAATTAAGTTCTAGATGACCACTTCCGACTTGTCGACTTTTCTCACCATCATTACTACAATTAGTAATCAAGACATGAATGCCTTACCAATTAAACCAGCGGATTTCACTCAATTTCTGGATTATTTTTATGAATGTATAAATATTAGTTGGTTCTGGGTTTAACTTGGACGACATTTTGTAGTGTCAGATAACAAATTGTTTGAGGTTATTGTTTACCTGAGTTAATGAAGCTTAAATTTCTAAGCAACGATTGTTCCACAAGATGTTGGAAACTTGGCTCAACTAAAATTTGATCGCAGTTCAAGGAATTTACTCTTTAATTGATTTCAACAGCGCCTTGTTTTATTTATATCTAGGTGATAGTTTAAGCTCTAAGTTAGTGAAACTTTAATGGAGGATTTACTGTAAAAATAATTAATTTAATCTGTTTGATCAAACTGGTCTTAGTCAATCGGAAGAAACCTAATCAATTTAGACTAATGGTTTTGCCAATCAGTTCTCAATGTTTGTATGTCTTTAAGGTAAGTATGTGTATTTGGGTTTGTAAAAACGTTTAGTCTCTTATCATCCAGAAATGTGTTGAAAACCTGGTATAGTTAATGGTGTGATGTATATCTATTAAACTGCAGCCATTACTATAAATAACCAATGCTGGTTAAGGAAGCTTATTCTGTTTGTTTATTTTTCTATCGATCTTTCTTGATATCTCACTCATAGGATTTATTTAAGGCTGTTAACGATCAATTTGAGCATAGAATCCTAGGAACCAGAAGGATATCATTGTCTATAAACACTTAAAAATAATCGAGAATAGCATAAACTATGGATTTACAGCCCTTGAGTTGTAAACTATCTAGGCGTTAGTAGGTTTCTCAAACTCACCTAGCCTATCGTATGCCCTGATGGTGTTCTCGTAACTTTCGTGTTGCCTGATCTGCCAAGGCAATGGGACAGTGCATGATGCTATTATTGTGTGCTAGGTTGAAAGAGAATTGTATGCTATATGCATGCAAATCCTCCCCATTATTGTTCTTAGGTCCCCAAATGCCCTGGTACGGCCGAGATTGGGGAGAGTCCGTTCTCCCTCCCGAAATGCTCTCACATGGACACGCGTTTACAGCCTCTACCAGGGAAGTCCTACTCACTGCCTTCTCGTGGCGGGGGTGTTGTTTACAAAAATGAGAGGACAAAAAGCGAATTTCCTCTGCTTTAACCGGATTCCTAACCAATGTTGCACATGAGCTCCAGTATCCTGCGGGAACAAATGGCGTATGAACGAATGGCTGGCGACCGGCTACCATGGGACTGCAACTCCTTACGGTGCTCCACTTCCTTGTGGATCAGATCTTAAGGTCGAAGGCTCGGGGTGTGGCCACCTAAGAAAACCACCTGCTTCGGTTTGGTCACCTGAGCAGTAACACAACCCTCACACATATCAGATGAAATTTGTGTGGCGCATATGTATTTGGTGCCTCCATGTACCAATATCTATGTGTTCAAATAAAATCATAAAAAATAAATACATTCAAATGCACAGTGTATCCTTCGAATTGGTGAATAATAATAAAATTACAGAATCTACTATCGATCACAAACAAAGAATATCTCCTACAAGAATAACTTATTAGGGAAAAGATGACAAAATACTCTTACAGGTAGAAAGTTAAATTAAGGACACAGAAGGAAGAGAACCAGTAAATCTAACAGTTGGCAATAATAACAATACAGTATATAAGTGGATTTAAACTTCACCCCATTGCACAAGCAGGTGGCTATCAGGACTCAACCTGCTTCGGTTCGGGAACCAGGGCAGTATCATAGACTTCAAACAAATCAAATGAGATTTGTGTGGTGCATATATATCTTGTTCCT